CCCGGCTTGCCTGGATCTGGCCCCTGAGGCTTGGGGCTTCCTCCTAGCATTGGGGAGCCTGTGCTGGTGCCTCAGCTCCCTGCCATTCCTCACAGGGCTGGAGCACACCACATCTACTAGCCTGGGCCTCCCTCGGCTCTGGTGTCTGAGGGGAATGTGGAGAATGTCTTTCTGCTTCTCGTTTGGAGGCTGCCTCACTTGTGTGTGGCCCCCAACTGATTTTGCTGTGGGTCAGCGGCCCCCGACCCAACAAGGGGTCCCCACCCCCGCTATAAACGCAGCACCATGAAACAAGTGGAAGGTTGCCAGCCCTCCAGGACTGGCCTGGAGTCTCCAGGAATGAAAGATGAATCTCGAATTAAAGATTACAGCCCGGCGTGAAATCTCCAAGGATGCGTCCAGTCCAAATTGGCCACTCTAAACAAGCCGCTCCATGGGCTCGTGACCAAAACGCTCTGCTCCCGCTGCTTCTGGGGCAGGGCTCCCTCCCCATCGTGGCAGTAGAGTGCTTCATGCTCGTGCTCTGACTGGTTACTGCGGCCCTCTGCTTGCAGGCCCAGCCCTGCCAAGCCCTCTGCTGGCAGGCCCAGCTCTGCCAATGCACCCCTGTCCTGTCCCTCCACTTTCTGCTGTTGCTGCCCTGGTGCTTTTGCAGCCACAGCTCAGCCGGTACACTGCGATCCTGACCCGAACCCCCCCTCCTCCCCGTTTTCCAGCCCGGCCTGCCCATCTTGCAACCATGTGACAGGTTAACAAACACAGGGAGGAAGCTTGAAAGACTAACAGGAAACACCCCGACTGGTGACTTTGATCAGGAGGAGCTCAGACATAGGGAGGTGGGAGACTTCACTGACAACCAGATGCTTCCGATAGGCCTAGGGTTGCCAGGTGTCCAGTATTGACCCGGCCCGTCTGTTATTTTCACCTCCTGTCCGGTAAAAAAATTCAGAAAATACCAGACACCTAAAATGTCTGGTATATTCTGATTTTTTTTTTCCCTGCCAGGAGGCAAAAGTACCGGACACCTGGCAACCCTACGATCCACTCAGCAACTGGGCCCAGCTCTCTCACTTACCTGGTTCCACAGGGGAGCTGTCTTCTGGCTCGGAGCAGGAAAACAAGATGGCTGACGGCCATGCTGCCTTAAAGGAACAACATGCTGGTTTTTTTTTTTTTTTTGCTTAATAACTCTTGGGGCAGGGGGGGATGTTTGGTATTTTTGGTTAAACCATCTGGCAACCCTAGACAGGCCCTGTGTTCGTTTGGGCCTAGCTGAGCACTCAGCATGGTCTCCGGTTGGCAGAAGATGATGGGAATGACTCCAACAGGGGCTGTTGCCAGTTGGTGCCGCCAATCCACGGCGTGTCCGTGGTAGTTCTGCAGCCTCGGTCAGCAGGCGGGGCAGGACTGGTAGGGCTCATGCTTTCCTGTGGTGCTAATCTGTTGGGATGGGCAAGCACCAGCTTGGTCCCTGAAACCAGCTCCGGGCCAGGGTGGCTCCCATGGGCCAGCGCACACAAAAGCAATGGGGCAGCAGGGCGCTCTGGGGATGCTTGTGGTGTCAGGGATTCAGGGCTGACAGACGTTCCTGGGGGCAGGAGAAGAAAAGTGTGTGGCCAGCCAGGAACAGGACTGGCTAGCAAGCTTCCGCCTCTGAGCTATGAGTTGTGTCCCTCAGAGCTTGGCTAGACCACGCTGTTTACCCCCGGCCCC